GAACCCCATTCCTGAGTAGAATCGCCCAGGAATTTCCTTGTTCGTCCCAGATAGGATGATGAGGCCCCCTTCCTCTTCGAACGTGTCAGAAACAGCGCCCCTTGTCTCTTGAACGCATATAATTGAAAGTTTGCGCTGCTCCATATAATGCATTATTTCAATAAGTTTCGCGCATTTTTTCCCAAACCTTCCGCGTTCCAAGTTGCGAAACATGCGTCTCGTAGTGGCCGGCATTGGCGTTTTGATCTGCCCCACATATTGTCCATATGATGAGAGCCATATGGGTATGAAGTAGCATCGGTTACTTTGCCCGGTGCTGCGTTGATACGGGGTGCAAGCTCCTCTCCGGGTAGGTCGGCATCTTTGTCCGGCTCTCTGGGTAGGTCGGCATCTTTGCCCGAATCGCTATCCGCGCAAATCCGCGCATCCAAGCTTTAATTTTGTAAACATATGTCGTGTAATAATTGTGGGTACCTGATTTGTGTGATCGGCTGCAGCGCTGGTCTGCGCAGAACTCCGCTGTGGAGGTTGAGCCAGCGCTTGCCGCATTTCCTATTTCCCACGTTTGCCTTTTGATTCGCCTTTCGCAGATCCTTTCATACCACAGCAAGCCCTTTGTATAATGGACTTGCATTTTTCCACAAGCGGAGCTTTTTTTTGTATGGTTTCGCAACTCATCTCAATTCTTCCATTCTTCTTCCAGACATGGTTCACCCCATCCTCTGCCACGGTTCATCCCCATTTGAGCGTTGGAGGCTCAAAACTGCCATCCGTGTCGCCATTCTCCCAGATTAACTTTTTTAGGAAATTCTGGTGGTCGAACCCCAGCCGCTAAATCCGTCCGCGTAGGGCGATCGGCCCACTTGTTCGTGTCCAGGATTGCTGGCGCGTTTGGCGGCTACCAAACAAGGAGGCCCATTCTGAACTCCACTTCGCGCAGCATTCAAATCGGTCGGTCGGTCGAGCCATGCGCCGGAACGCGTGGGCAAAAAGGCGAAACAATGCGCCTGGTCTCTCCGATTTGCGGGAGCGGCGGCGTGCCAACACAACTATTAATTGATGATGCGCATCGTTTATTTCTGGATGGGGCAGGGAACGAGGAAGAAAGGGGGGCGGAGGAAGGGCAGGAGGGGGGGGGGAGACGAAATCTAATACAAATTTGTGCCAAGCATATGTCTCGCTAGCGCATTGCATTACAGCGTTTTCAGTGGAAAAATGCGCCACGATAGCGTCATGTAGATACTTCGCCCATTCTTGCCTGGGCCTGCCTGCAGCTCTGGCGCATGCATCGGTGGCTGGTCGCGCACAGCTAGGTTGAAAAGTAAGGCGGCGCAAAAAGTCAGAGTTTGGTGCTCTACCTATTTTTCCCAACCACAAAAATTGATGCTGTAAAAGCTGTGTCGTATAGGGTTGCTGCCCGGCTCTCGATCGTATAGGGTTGCTGCCCGGCTCTCGACAGCACCTCTTGATCAGAAATTCGTGATGTGCACGCGGGTATTTGCAAAATGCGACGCGTGCACTTCGTTTGAAAGCCATCTAGCATTCTACGCTCGGCTTTGTTAAGCCATGCCGAATTCAATGAGTACATGACCTTACTAATCACAAGGGCCTGAAAACTTGGATCTTCCTAGCTGGGCTAATGGCCGTGTGTTTCCACACGCGGTTTGTGAGGAGGTTGATCTCGCAGTGGACCGGCATGAGTCGGAATTTACCCCAATGCAACTCCATACCAAGTCTTGCCCCAGCATTCGCAATTTCTTCCAATAGTGCTTGCAATTGGATTTGGTTGCGGCCCACCGGCAAGGTTTCGCCAGTATATAACAACATGGCCAGCGACTCTTCTTCGAGACCCTGTCGTACTCCAGCATCTGCGTGGCGCGCGGCATCTTGAACAATCATCGTCATGATCATGAAAAGAAAAGGTGAGTAGGGGGCACCCTTGCGCAATATTGCGCCCAAACGCAGGGAATTCCCGGACGAATTCTTGCAATACATCGGCCCAACTTGCTCAATAGGCAGCATCCGCTATGCGTTCCGAATTTCGCAACCCCATCCCCCCAATCTGAACGGCAACTGCGTTTGAAGGATCCAGGTGCCATATTGTATACCGTGTAATTGTTTAAGCCAATCCTGGGGCTCGCGGGGCTTGAAGACATTCAGAAACGCATCTAATATGGACGTGTCGTGACGACGGCAAATGTCCGTATTGTATTTGGGGGCAATGCCCGAAAGAGGTGGTTCAGGCGCGGGACCGCGCAATAGTACAAGACTAACCAAACTGGTTGTAAAGAAAGGAGCCGAGGTAACAATTGTAAGAGCTTCGCCCTCTTCTCAGCGAACTTCGCCCCATATGCTTGCATATGCTTGGCTGACCCCAATGGTGTACCCAAGATTTTGATAGCCCGTTCTGGGAGTGGTGCATCGCATCAATAGGTGCAACAACGGCAATATCCACCGGGCAAAGAGCTTCTGTATTCCCCTAAATAACACGCTTCCCTGTATGCTCATCAATACGGCGTATGTCCTAAAGAATTGTCTGTGCGTCGTTGGAGAGGGCGGAACAAATTGAGCTCTCTTTTTCTTTGATCTCCTCCGAAATGGCCCCGCGAGCGCTCCCAAGGCTCCCGAACGCGCCCCGAAAGGCGCTCAAGATGCCCCCATGAGACTCCCAAGAGACGCCCAAAAAAGCCCCAAGAGGCCTCCCAGACGCTCTCAATAAGCTCCAAGAGGCCTCGGCGACAATGCCCAAATCATTGATTTTACTAGAAAATTGTGGCAAAATTTCTTAAGAGGCCCGGGCGCTGCTCAAAATGACTTCAAGAGTGCCCGGGAGAATCCAAAATGACCCGATTTAGCGGTATTGGTAGAACTCCGTAACCCCATTCCCCCCAGCCGCAACGGCAATCTAGTAACTCACGTATTGTACGACACTCCGTGTAAAGCCGTATCCCATGCAGTATCGTGTTGTATCCCAAAGGGTGTTTTGAAACATGCAAGTCTGGCTGCATCGTGTTCTTCAGCGAGGGGTTGCTTTCTCGCCTTTTCGCTTCCAATGGCCATCCGAGGCCTCAAGATGGTTCCGAGATGGCTCCAAGAACGCTCCCAAGGCTCCCAAAAGCGTTCCAAAAGGGCCCCAAGAGGCGCCCAGACGGCCCCAAGAGGCTCCAACAAGCGCCCAAGAGGCCTCCAAGAGGCTCCCCAAAGACCCCTAAGAGGCTCCAAGAAACTATCCGAAACACCCAAGACGCTGTAACAAGCGTCCGGGGCCGCCAAGAGGTCCCCAAAACGCTCCAAGAGGCCTCCACTGGGGGACCCTTCTTCTGTGCGGTGCCTTTTTCCCTGATCGAGGCAATCCCTTTAGGCGTCGTTTCTGGATGGGCTGGTGGGGTTACCCGAAGCGTCTAGAATTTCGCCTGTTTGTCCGTTCCCAAGTCGATCAATAACCAAATCGTTACCATGAACACCAAACGAAGAAAAATGCATCAACCCATAAAGAAGGGCGCAACGCAATTTGTTTTAACATCGGGAAGCTAATGACCGTCGCCGCGATGCACGCGCCAATAATGGAAATATTTGAATCCGCCAAACCCTTGCGTTGAACCTGTTTACCACATGCGCTCGCCAAGAAGAAAAAATAGCCGGAACGGGAGGCAATTCGAATCGGAACATTATGGGCGAACCCCAAAAAACAAACATACAATCGTACAACAAGAAGACGTCCTTCAAACGTATGAGACCTTCAGCTGGCGCCGGCCAACAAATAATATTATTTTGGGGCCATGAACGCTCCAGCGGACGTTCTACCAAAATCCAGAAAGGGGGCGATTTCGACTCTGCAACATAAGCGCTGGGAGCTCTTAGGATCGGCCTGCAATCAGCCGTGTCACGGGCAATGTTTCAAAAACGGGCTGATCTCGCGATTCTACTGAAATCATCTAACCGTTTCCTTCTCCTCTCCTCCTTCTCGGTTTCCTCGAATACGCCTGCTTTGCCAGCCTGTTGTTGTGTCTCGCATTTGATGCCCCGCCTGGCGGCAACAAATTCCGTATCCGAGCAACGGTTTCGGTATTCAAACAGCGGTTTCCGTATCCACTTACACCGGTTTCCGTATCCACCCGCACCACACCGGTTTCCGTATCCCATTTCAATAGTTTTCGTATCCAAACACGCACCAGCGGAGGAGACTCCGAAGGGTATCCAAGAGGCCATTCTGCTCGCCCTCGTCTTCCTCCTCCTCCTCCTCCTCCTCCTCCTCCTCCTCCGCCTCTTCCCTCCTCACTTTTCCCCCTCCCCCCTCCCCGTCCCCCTCCTCCCCCTCCTCCTCCCCCTCCTCCTCCTCCTCCTCCTTCTCCTCCTCCTCCATCCTCTCCTCTTGGACTCCTGGGGTATGACGGCTCCCCCAGCCCGCTATTTCACCGCATGCTCCTAATCCCTGATCAAGGCAACTCGCCTGGACATCGTTTCTGGATGGGCTGGTGGGTTTACTTTTTTGATTTCGACCGCAGGCGAGCACCCGCGCGGCGTCAGAAAGGTCGAACACCAAGCGAGAGCCGGAAGCACACCGCAACTGTCGCCGACAAAACGCGGGACAAAAAAACCACAGGGTGACGAAAACTAGCGGGCGACGCGCGACGGCGACGCGGGGGGGGCGGGAACGAACGAACACAACAAAAGAAGACGAAAAAAGAGAGGACACGAAGAAAAGAGAGGCGGCGACGAGAGACAAGAAGTGAGACCGAGCAAGGGAACAACAGCCGCGGTTCAGACGTGGAACGAGTGAGGACCTTCCACACCTTGTAGAACTCCCTGTGCTTGACGTAAGGAAGCCGCGGAGATCTCGAAACCAGTCCAGTCGGATGCCGATGCCACGTAAACCGAGGAGTGACCAACTGCGGCAGGAGCAAGTGGTAGCAAGGGAGCGAAAAGCTGGTGGGTTGACGTGAAACGTCTAGAATACCCACGGCGCACAGAAACACGGATATGAATTTGCTGCTACGATGGGAGAATATGTCGCTATACCCCATATGTGGACCAATGGATCCGTTTTCCGCCGCGCATCATTATTGATGGCTCTGAGTCGTGACATCGACAACGCAAATCGTGTTTTTTCGAGGCGCATGGCCTAGGAATGAGGCTGGTCACAAGCCGCCCTTCTGCCAACCGCGAGTCGCGTGCGCCCGAAGCTACGGCATGCGCGCGCGGGAGAGGGGACTCATGCGGCTGTTTTCCCCGACCAACCGCACGCGACGGAGAACCTACTCAACAGCGAAATCTCATCTGCTCATCCTCCGCTGTCCCCCATCCGCTCCACCCTTCCCGCCCCACTCCCCATGATCACCATCATTGCCATCATCACCAACCCTTCTCGTCTGGCTCACCCTTCTCGCACTATTCCGGGGCGCGTAAGCATGGATTACCGATCCATGGATTTGGCGCGCGGTCGCACATATCCATGGATCCAGGCAAGGGCCCTCCCCAAAATGTGGTCGGTGTTGCTTCGTTCGGAGGCGGAAATCCACGTCTTCGCGTGGAAACTCCTCCTCCTCCTCCTCCTACTCCTCCTCCTCCCTCTGCCTCATCATGCCTCCTCCTGCCCGATCCTCTGCGTCCTCCCTCGTCATCCCTATCCCTCCCACCACGGCGGAAACGCCCCTTCAGGGCGACTGCGGCTCAAACTCGGGGGGGACGTAGAGGTGGGGCAAGGGCAGAGGCGGGGTTGGAGGAACATCGCTCTGGGGGGCCCCTGGGAGAAGGATATGTGATCATACAGCTTGGCCCGTTCACTGAAACTCTACCTTGGGATAACCCCCTCTCCGCGAAACCCCGGCAAACCGTTAGCATGTAGGAAACGGGTCCTGAGCGAAACGGGTCCTGGACCCTGGGGCCTTCCCCAGGACCAATTCTTCATCCGAAGTTTAGGTCGGGCATGACTATTTTTGACTATTCCCCCTGTGCAGGGACAGGCCCGACTTAATTCGAAGCAGTTCTTTCACAGCCCCGGGGCCCGAGAGCCCGAAAGCGGCGGAAAGCCTCAAGACCCGTTTCCCGCAAGACGCGTTGCACCCCTTGCGAATTGCCTCCCCCTCCACGGCCCCCCGGCAGCCTGGACGGCCAGAATGGGTACGGAAAAAATGGGTACGACGCCCAAACGCAAGTGCTGTTCCAAAACGGCAGCGGCCGCTGTTGGGCAGGCGGCCTCTTGCTTCAAATGGGCAACGACCGCGGCGACGCCGACACCGAGTCCTGTTCAGAATGAGAAGGAACTGCTCTTGTACTTTGTACCCCTTGTCTGATGAGAAAAAAAACGCCATAAACATAAATGTTTGGCGCTCTGGGCGGACTTCTTGGATCTGCGCTGGACCCCTCCCTGGCGCGCGGAGCGCGCCAGGGGCGGCGCCGGATGCGCCGCGGGGAGGGCCCATGCGCGGATCCAAGAGATCCGCGCGGAGCGCCAAAGTTTATGTTCGTGGCGTTTTTCCTTCCTCTGTAGAGGGCAGAAAATCCACCCCGATCATAACCACCCCGACGCGCGAAGCCGTTTAGCAAACGCGCCCAAAGAAGGAATCAAACAGGGCAGGGCCATTTCGTCAATGCCCAGGGCCGTTGAGCGAACGCCAATTGTCTGGTCCGGGTGGTTTTTCCTTCCTTGATACTATTGTCAAGTCGGGCCTGTCCTCCTACAGGAGGATTTTGGACGAAAACTAAAAACAATTGTCAACACATACCCCAACATGATCAAACAATACTCAAGAAATAGTCCCCAGACTATTTTATGACTATTTTTGAGCAGCTCTTCTGTAGAGGGACAGGCCCGACGTAATTCTTGTTGCCTCCGTGCCCGGTCCGACCGCCTCGAAGGCGGACCTCCGCGGCGTCAGTACAGGGCCGGGGCGCTGGCCGACCCCTGGAGCATGCCTGGCACGCCGCGCGACCGCCGCCTCGCTCCCGCCTCGCTCCCGCTCCTCGCCCCCAGGGGGAGAGAGGGCCGGCGGCCGAGGGAGGAGGAGGAGGAGGAGGAGGAGGAGGAGGAGGAGGAGGAGGAGGAGGAGGAGGAGGAGGAGGAGGAGGAGGAGGAGGAGGATGAGGAGGAGGAGGAGGGGGAGGGGGAGGAGGAGGGGAGGAGGAGGAGGGGGAAGGGGAGGAGGAGGAGGGGAAGGGGAGGAGGAGGAGGAGGAGGAGGAGGAGGAGGAGGTCAGCGGCGCGCAGAGGGAGGGGAGGGGAGGGGGGAAGGAGGCTTCTTTTGGCGGCGCGCGCAGTGGGGTAGGGGCAGGGGGGAAGACCTCTTACAGGGAGGCCGCTTCTCAGAGGGCGCCGGCCCAACATCTGTAGAGAAGGTCCGCGCCTTACATGTATAGCGGCGTGCAGAGGGGTGTGGGGGCCTAGTGGGCCCTGGTAGCGACAAGGACGTTTTTGAACCGGTTCACTTTTGCCATTCTTTTGCAAGTTCCGGCGCCGCTTGTCTCCTTCAAGCTTCGTCGCCGTTTCTTCGTCGGTTCGGGTTCTGGTTCCAACTCCGGAACCGTTTTTTTGGCCGTTTCCGGTTGCCGTTTTTACCGCTTCCATTTTCAAGCGACGCTTTTTCGGAAACGGTGCAAAAACGGCCCTGTTGGGCCCACTAAGGGTGGAGGGGATGGGCGGGGGAAGTGGTATTATCGGCTACACGCAAGAGTGACCCTGGGTAAGATTGACCTTTGGTGCGGTGCTTTTTGGGGTCGCGGGGGGACCAAACAAAAAAGGGCGCAAGACGCTCCTAGAGCATCGCATTCGGCGATCGGGGGACCCCAATGGGCCCACACCACAGGCCACTCTGGCGAAGGGTCTCTCTTACATGTAGTCTATCTTAGAAGGAGGCTGCTTCTTAGAAGGCGTCGGTCCTGCATCTATAATAGATGAGGCCTGCGCCTTCTAAGAACCAGTCTCCTTCCGAGAAGCCTTTCCCCCTCCCCCTAGCTCCCTCTGCGCGTGGCCGACAGATTGCTTCACTATGTTTCGCTGGCGGGTTCTGACAGTGGTGCGAAAAGAGCCACAACAGAAGTCCCACATTGGGGGGGAGCGGGGAGCCGTAGACCGTACGGTTTCGCGGCCGCTTCGCCCCTCAAGCTCCCTCGCAACTTCTGCAGGAACCGTGCTCTCGCTCCAGAGCCGTCTACAGGTTCGGTCCGGACGGCCACTACCTTTCAAGTAAACATGCGCTACTGCACGTGGCCGTGCTCTCAGCCCTGTCCTGGCTGCAGCTCTTCTTTCTCAGGGCATCATGGCCGTGCTTCTCCTACTCCTTGGCCCGCCTATTCACCGTTGCTGCTGGCAGGGTGCTTTGCTGGGGTGATATCTTGAAAGATCTTTCCCTCCACGAACCATCAAACGTCGGATCGCCTGGCCACTGAACAGAGAGCCGGCGAATGAAGGCAGGCGCTCTATTCCTGCCATCCTGGCCCTGCCTGGCCTTCTTCCCGAGGCCGAGGCAAGGTCGGGGGAAAGATCTTCGTCCTCGTCCCTCCCCCGCGTCGTCTTCCTCCTCACGACGCCCGCGGCGTCGGCGTTGGCCACGTCGCCAACGCGACATCGCCGACGAGCGTCGATGACGGCCAGGACGATGTCGGCGACGAGCACGACCATACCGACGCCGACGACCATCGCAACGATGTCGACGCAAATTTTGGATTGAGTGGAGGCGGCCACATGATCGGATCGATGAGGAATATCGCGCCGGGTGATCGTCGCCAGATCGAACGCTACCCATCCATGGCAGAACTCTGTCGATCATCAAGCGGCGTCGAGTAGTCACAGACAGCGGAGGTCGAACGGGGCGGAACTCTAAGAGACCGAGGGTGAATTCATCGCAACGGCAACGGCAAAATAGTCGGTCCAAGCAGAGGCAGAGCGCGATATCGATCCTTTCGCCGAAGCCGGCATTCGTGAGCCAGTGCAAGGAATCGACCCTGAGCTCTGGTACTCCTCTGCGCTGGCCCTGGAGCGGGCGGGCACGAGAACGCTGGCGCCTCTCCTCCTGGGGCGGCAGCAGCCGAGCCATACACGACGACCACGTCCACATCGTCGACTACGGCGGCAACCACGTCGGTCGACCACGCCGACGACGGCGACGACCACGACGTCGCCGCCAATGTCCAACACGCCCACGACGACCACTGCACCGATGACGACCACCAGGGCGTCGACGACGAGGAACACGGCGGCCGCCGAGCACGCAGGCCACATCGCGGGGAAGTTTAACAAATGATCCACTTCACCCATACTGCCCAGTCCGATCCCTGGCCTTGGAGGCGGCTAGGGCTAGGGGGTCTGCTCTGGATGCGCACCAGCAGAACCAGACACCTCCAAGACGCCCAAAGAGGTCTCCAAGAAGAGGTCTCAAGAGGGCCGCAGGAGGCAAAATTCATGGATTTTCTTTCGAGGCCCTAAATATCGCTCCAAGACGGCCGAAGAGGCCTCCAAGAGGGCCCCAAGACGGTCCAAGAGGGCCTCAAGACGGCCCAAGAGGCCTCCAAGACGGCCCAAGAGGCCTCCAAGACGGCCCAAGATGGCCCCAGGACGGTCCCAAGAGGTGGCCCAGACGTGGAACCCGAAAGAGGCCCCCAAAAGGCCCCAAGAGAACCCCAAGATGCCCCCAGGAGGCCCCTGAGAGGCCTCCGAAAGGAAGCTCGGCGGCGAGCGAGGGGGGGAAGTGAGGAGGAGAGGGCCTTCTCACAAGGCTCGGAAGTCCCCCGGCCTTCTGAGAAGTTTTCTGAGCCTTCCCCGAAGACACAGAACACCTCTCAAAGGCGCGAGGGCTTCTGAAAAGTCCCGCCGCCTGTCTCAGAAGGCCTTCTCCTTCCCTTGTCCCCACCTCGGTCGCCGCCGATAGGGGCCTTCCCCTGTCCCCTTCTCCTGTCTCCTTCCCCTGCCCCCTTCTCCTTCCCTTGTCCCCACCTTGGAGAAGGCAGCCCAGATAGGACAAGGAACGAAACCTGTGTGCAACGGCGCACCGCCCTCCTCTCGAACG